TAAATTCGCATTCGAGACTAGCTAAGTACGCGGAGTAGACATCCCGCCGAATCGCAAAACCGGACTCCGCCACCCTTTCGAGACGACGAACTTCGCGACGCGTTTGCATACTTCTTTTTTCCCCCCTCTCTCTTTCCTTTTTATATTTATTTCTCTTGGCGTCTCGCGGTGGATCGTTGTCGTAGACGACACCTGTTTTAATCTCTTTAGAAATCATTTTTCAATGTAAATGGAAAAAGCCGAGGCTGTATACCATTTGTTTGAAATTCGTTTACATACATCTAGTTCAAGTTAGCTAACAATAAGATTCAATTGGATTGTTTTCTCTTTCTAAGGATAAAACGGAGAAAAACAGATCGGACAAGTTTTAATCAGTTCTCTTAAAAACATTTTAAATTCTCAAAAAAAAAGACTTATGTCACATGAGAAAATTTTCAAACGTGGAAACATTTGAAATTTTTTTCTATTATGCGATACATGTAAACATACGTCTTTTTTTCAAATAAAACAAGCGCATCTGTATCTTCGCTTTACCTTTGAACTAAGCAAACACGAATGATTTCGTACTAGATAAAAACTAGGATATGTCAACATTTCTCCGTTCGTTTCTCCGTCGTCATCAGTTTTAGTTAAGCCGAAACGAGTCGAGCCGAGCTGAGAGGTGGCGCCGTCTCTCGTCGAAACGGACGATCGAATGGCGGCCGATTATTACATGACATTCCTCGAATACCATTCCAATCTCTCCCTCATCTCCTCTCGCGGCCCGTCCGGAGTCTTCCACCCTCTCCTCTTTTCCGTTTCTCTACTCTGACTTTTTCTCTCTTTCTCCCGGATTCACCCTTTCTACGTTTCTTCTCGTTATATGGCACGCCTGAGCCTCTCTGCTAGCATGCAAGAGGCTCCGATGTTGAAGTAGGCGATACGAACGATAAGCATTTCGTCCTTTTCCCTTTCATGAAACCTACGCTAATCCTCGAGGAGCCATGTCAGATCAATTTGACTCTCAAACCATTTTTTTCTTTTTATGTGCAAAGAAGATGAAATAGAAGCTAAGTTTCTCACATATAATCCTGTTAAATTCATAGATTTTAACTATTGAATATTTAAATTTTCTTGAGAAAGAAAACTATTTATAAAACAGATATGATTAATATTTATATATTTATGTATTTTTTTTTTAGAGCTTTTCTATGACATCTGTGAAATAATGAGATTTCTGAATTTATAAAATTATAGTCAAAGAAGTAATAAAAATTGTTAGTATTACTATTTTTACGTGAATTTAGTTACAAAATTTTCTATCTACGTTAAAATTTATTCAAGAAAGTCTTCTGTCTTTATCTAATCGTCTCTTAGATATCATTATATTATTATAAATTCAATAATTGTACCTTGCACACAAGGTTTATATGCGTAAACATAAGATTAATATTTAACTTTTCGATTATGCATTTCCTTTCGCGACTAAGCAAAGTTCAGAATCGACCGCGCCCTTACAGGAGAAGCGAGCGATAAAAAGCTTGTGATAAATAATATTTTCGAAGAGATCAATTTGAAAAAAATTTGTACACCCTTTGTAGCATTAATTTATTTTCAGAGAATAAGGTAGTGTTTTCACTTTCACAGGTATATTGTCACATATTAGTGCTAAACTCAAGTATTGTGCGAATCAGAATTCCCTATAAAATTTTATGATATTTATACTTTTAATTTATACGAGAATCGGATGCAAATTTCGCGCTAAGTGATAATAATTTCCTTTATTACGCGAAATACAGAGAATACCAGTAAAAATAATAATTAATTAATAACTATTCGTACGTTGTAGAATTGGTTATTTTACGGCATGTATAGATTCCACGCTCTGTACGATCCTCCGCTTTGCCTCGCCCGGTTTTTCGCGAGATGCCAACGACGGCATCCCGAATTTGTTCTCGCCGGGGTCGACGGCGAGCACTGTGAGAAATATCGATTCGCGGCCGTCTTCCATTCTGACTGTAATAGCGCGACACGAGCCCCCAAAGAAGGACACTGCCCGACGCCCTGTTGCGGAGAGCGGGACGGAGAGAAAGGATAGGAAGCCGTCAGTAGTGAAGATAGTACGATTTCTCGTAAAGCCACGAGAGCGAACCCATTCATAAAGACGAAGCCGTGACTAACGAGCAAGGAGAAACAGGCGTGAGCTTTGGTGCCTATCCATCCCTTTCTGCCCTCCAGCCCTCCTTCCGTCCATTTCCGCTCTTCTTTTTCCGTATCTTCTCTGCCTTCTTAATCCAGTTATTTTATCATTATTTTACCAGTTAAACGAATGATACTTTCGCCTATTCGTTAATCGTGCTTCCCTCTTATTCTTAAACGCTTCCCTTTAATTATAGATGTAATTAGTAATAAAATCGGATTAGTAGTTCAATCATTAGGGTTTGTATTAGAAATCAATTAATTTTAAATAAACTTTATCAAAGTTTTAACTGCACTGAAAGTAAGAAACACAATTTCGTTAAATTCACATTTTACACACGAAAATAATTTCTGCATTTATTCGTGGAATATAAATGACGTTTGGAAATAAATAAAGTATGATTGTTATTTATAGCGTCAAAAATGGATCGTGTCGAAATTGTACCAGTTTCAACTGCAGAATCGAAATAGGTGCAGAAGTTATAAACAATTGTGTACAAAGATCCATTCAAATTCTAAGTTTCTTTCCAAGAGAAAAGATTCGATGCGAATTTACTGAAGAATCTTTAGATGGGAGAAGGCGGAAGAGGTAGTTGGATAAGGTGGGCTAAGTTATTCTGTTATTCATCAACGAATTTCGTTCTTCTTGCCATTTCTGAATGTTCGCGCGCGTCGAAGTGTATTTAGTATAGGTACCATTTTGCTTCTTCTCGAACGTGGCATCCCGTTCTGCTCCCTCCGAGCGTTTTCTTCGTAAAGAGAGAGAATACGCGCAAGAAATGATACAATCCGCGATCGGACGTACGGGAACGATGACAAGTGGCGGGCAACGAACGGCGTCCTTTCTGGTAGAACGCTTCCGCGTTCTGTCGCGCGAACCGATCTCCGGGAAGAATGCGACATCGCCGATGACAACGCGTCTCTCCTTCTGTTTGTTTCCAGAAGCGCCCGTTTAGGAATCGTGCCGATGTCATTGTCTCGAGCCGTCGCGATACCGTGGAAATCGTACGATGCGCCTTCCTGTAAGGGACAGCTTCGAAAGTCGGCGCAAGATATAGTCATAACTTCCACGTTGTACTCTTCCTATATATTTAAATGTTTTAACAAATATTGATTGTATCTGAATACGTTTATGCATTATTTATTTATCTAAATAACTCGATTCTATATATACGCCGTAAAGTAAATGTGTTTTTGGCATCAAATTGATATCGGTTTTGCGAGAGAAAAAAAAATTAAAAATAAATATAAGAGATACAAGGTAAAGTATATCAAAAGAGTAAATACATTCGAGATCGGCTTAGTTTGAAAGTAAATTAAAAACAAATAGACTATCCGCCGCTGCAAGTTCGTGTTCTCTAGCTGTTCGAGCGTGGATTTGCTTTGGCAACAATGTAAAGAGTTTCTATCAGAAATTTCACGTTGTCAACTTCTACTAAGTGACATTTCTCCATCGGTCATTATAAATTCATAGAATTCGAGATTTTGCGTAGTACCTTTATGGAGTATACCGAAACTGCGTAATACGTATACGAGGTACTTCACCTGATCGGCGGGTACAGGATAGGTAAGCTTCGAAGGGGAAAGTTTTGATTGGGTTACGAGGACCGCTGACAGAGGGATCGATGGATATCCCGGAAACGGAAAAGCTCGATGTAAACGCACCCTCCGCGCTCTCCGACCCTACCGTTCCGCTATCTTTTTCTCTTTCTCTTTTCTGTCCCTTTTTCCCCTTTCTCTCTCTCTCTCTCTTCCTCATATGGCCTTGGCGTAACGTTCGATGGAAAACCACGGTGGTCCTTTTCTCCCTTTTTCGGCCGGAGGAAGGGAAGAGGAAAAAAAAACAATCTCGCTAATTTTCCATCGCGCACAAGGGCACTGGGACAACCACCCTGTGAAACCGATGTGCTTCCCCACTTTCGAGTATTCAGTCGCTCGTTCGCTCTTCAAAGCGGACGCCGCATCAAAGGTGCGCCTCGACATTTATCGGACTAAAACCGTAGAGCCGCGTAAACCCCCATAGAGTACCAATGGCATTCCCTCGTGGATAATTTACGATCCGCGACATTCCTTCCTGGTCGACACAGATTCAATCCAACCAATCCTGTAAACGTGGTATTTGCTTCGCAGAATTACAAAACTCGCGTACTAAATAATACGCCGGTCACGCGATATGTACTTATAATCACAAATATTTTTTGGTGATAATTTTTTTTGTATTAATCTACTTTTGATGCCAAAAGTGATTGATTATTTTTATAAGTTTTATGAAATGCTCTTACTTCTTTTTTTACAAACTTTTGTTGTGGTTTGATAATTGCGCAAATGCATCCACGATATTCTCAAAGAAGAACAATACAAGAAAAACAATTCGAAGTGATAGATTTATTTTAGAAACGGCCGATAATCCCATTAATCAAATCTTGAAGAAATTTAGAGATGGAGAACAAATAGTACGGTTTTTTTGATCTGAATAAAATGCGTCGTACAGACAGTCGTGTGTATGACCGGTGTGTTATCAGGTGCTCCCAGAAGGGAAGATGAGATAAGACGGAATGTCGTAACATATCTTTACTTTCCCCATGTACCCTCTTTTTTTCTTTCTCACGCGTGCCAGTATACGGCCACATACGAGTGATATGAGCTACATATTATGTTTTCCACTTTAATTTGCTTCAAAGCGGATGTAATTCATAAGATTAAATGTCTAAAAATTGTAAATTTTACATATATTTCAGTGATATGAGTTATATAATTATATAAAAATATGTACGCAAATATAATTATAATTATAATTTAGTACACACATTAAAAGTTTTGTATACTTTTTGAATAATTTTTATTGATATCATATTCGTATGAAAGAGTCACAGTTCCGGTGTGTTAAAAAATTCAGTCTTATCTAATTTTTTTCTTCTATAACATGAGTGATTTTTTCTGTTTTTTTGCTTACTCTGTTTTTTTCTTTCGAGCCAATCGAATAAGCATCGCGCGTAGTTAAACGTGGTAACCGATTCTTCTGAATGGAACGAGTCTGACATTCCTTCCGAGTCTTTTTCGGAATGCGCACGTGGATACGCGCCTATAACGCCGCGAACGTTCCACCGTGTACGAGAATGCTTAGTGTAAATAAAATTCCAGACTGCAGTCTGCTCTCTCTCCCGCGTCGCTGCGGAACAACGACGGCGCTCTCCAGGTGCACAAACTTCCGTTATCGTATTCCTCTCCACTGTCATATATTTCCCGCGTAATGCGTAGTGTCAGGAAACCGGTGCTTATCGACGAACATTTCGATGTTTTCTTTCAACCCTCATATCTTCGGTTGACGGTTTTACTCATTTATGACTTTCAAGCGCCAAAGCTACGTACACGACATAAAATGGCAATTTATTTACGCATTAATAATATTAAATTGTTTCTATGAGGTATCAAAAGCAAATTAATAACTCTTGAAAAGAATGAAGAAAAATTTAATTATGATGGAAATTTTATATATAAGTTTTTCGAGAATTGATTTAATATTTAGCACGTATAATATTTAAACATGCACATATAATATTTAATACTTCAACAATTCTATATCGATATATATGCATATATGTCGTTACTTAACGTATATAAATTTCAATTGCAATTAAATTACACCTCCCATGTAATTGTGATTGAAATTTATACATTAATTAATGATATTTGATAATCAGTATTATATATAATAATTTGTTTTTGCTTACACAAGTACGATTGACGTTCGACGACTCGAGATGAGAACGAGGTCGAAGCTCAAAGCGGCACGAGGAACGGCCGCCCCGGAATCCGTCGGTTCCCGCGCAATTGTTGCGACAATTTAGCGCCGTTGTCTCCATCTCCTCCTTCGTTATCTCGCCAACAAGTTAATCTTTATAAATAGCCCGAGCCACGGTTATATTTAATCCTGACCCTCGCGGTCGCAGCTTCCATGTTGATACTTGTCGACTCCGCATCGTCAACGTCGATTCAGCGCAAGGCTTGATACTTGAAGCATTTATATACATATAAGATGGAGATAAGCGCGATATATCGTTCGTCTTTTTGCTGTTCCGAGAAGAAATGCCTCGAAAAATTTTGGCTCAAAGGCTTTAACCTTTTTCACTTATTTCCACATCCATCTCCAGATCGGGAACGTACGTTACGTTTTATTCAGAGTCTTGACGTTCTTTTAATTGATTGAACGCCCTATCTTTTAAACGTCTTTTATGTAATATATCTTGACAATTAGATGCCAAATTAAAATTTTATTGGGATAGAATTTACTTGTAATTAAGTAAAGAATACAATTGTGTTACATTATTTGCACCGCCGAAGATTAATGTGTGAAAGAAATTTGTTTTATTTTAATTACCTATATTAAAGATTACTAACAATTGGATAATTCTGTTAAAGAAAATCGATTCCAAATTCAATAAATTGATATTCATCAGTAGATGCAATTTATCATATTTTATTTTGAAACAGATCTTCGTATTTCAAAATAACATTCTTTGGCTATAAACGTCCCTTCGATACTTGCATGAAATGAGTATTTACGCTGATAGTATCCGTGTGATCGGTCTACATTAGGGACTATGTCAATTGAAAGGCTAACGGGATTACGACATTGATACGATATCTCCGAAGTATTAATCTTTCTCTCGTTGAAGGCGTGTATATACGCTCGTTTGAAATATCTGTCGACCGCGCGTTGTCAAACTGTCTCTATCGCGTTGCTTCTTGTCCCACGCTTCGAGAGTCATCGCTCTGATATTTCTAGTGGTTCTTCGGTCAACCTAATTTCAGACACGACTGGTAATCGATCGTTTCTTAGGCTCTACCCCCATTTTCCCGCGAATATATACGTTCATTTTACGCCACCGAATAAAACGGCGCCCACCGCAGCCGCGCCGATCGATCGCTCAGTTCTAATTTTTCACCTTTCACACGAGAGAGACAGGACCGCGGCTCATCGATTTCGCGTCGTTTCTCGGCTCATCAATGAGAGCACATTGTTTTTGGCGACGTGTAGTGCGAACGATTCCTCGAGGCGAGACCCGAGTGCAAAACGGCGAGTGCGAGTTAATCTTAGGGCTCGACCGGCAATAAAACCGGACTGCCCTTACATTCCTGGGTAATGCGTCGTCCGCTATTTTAAGCTCGGGGTTTAATAAACTTACGTCGCTTAATTAGAGCAACATTTCTCCTAACTCGTCTTCGCCTGCGTTTTCATCCGCCTTTTAACCGACCTACCAGACGTTCGTCCGCTATCGCGTATTTCTTCGCATATCGTATACGTATCATCGCACTCCTATCGTTAATTCCGCGATTACGATTAAGTGTACTCGTAATGAAAGTATCAATTTAATAAACATGATCTATTTTTTCTCATAGCTTATAAAATACTTGTTATAAATAATCGCATTCAATAACTAATATTTTGGATTCAATTTGTAAAAAAGAAATATAATTTATGTGACTGAATAATAAATGAAGTAAAATGTAATGATATTGTAATTGTATCAATATAATTAATTCAAAATGTTAATTATTGGTTATTTATAGCGTCTCGCACATTATTATAGAATAATTGTTCCAAAATTTGAGTCGGACCTTGATCAGTCGATAGGGCAATAATTCACTGACGATTAACAGTTTATGGCAATTTAAAAATAGGTACCGAAATGTATACGCTTGGCACATCATCGTCTAATTTTAGGTCGCCTGATGGAAAGGAATTAACACAATTTTTCACGGTAGAAATATTTTTGTTCCGTGAAACATATATATAGCGTCTTTACGAACGTGCGTTTACGCATCGTGGGTAATACGTAGGAAGTTGCATGAGTTGCGATTTTTCTGCTTTTTCCGCTTGCTCCTTGTGTACTCGCGTGTACTAATACGCGCATCGAAGTCGCACGACCCGTATCCTCTGCCTCTGCCTTTCAGTTTCCGCTTCTCTTCCGCCCGGCTTGCTATATAACACACGAGGTTATACATATTCGTCAAAATATCGTATCGCCCAATTCGTCCGAATATCGTATTTTTACGGAATGAATCGGCGAGCGATTGCAAAACACGAAATTGCATTCTTATACCTTTTTCATACGTCTGGTTGACAGTTATTATTTTATCTAACAATTTGTAACATGCGCAATTAAATGGGCGCGGTTTCTCTAGAATTTACGATTGGAAGAATGTCAAATCGGTGGATTCCGTCCGTGTATTATTTTCGTACGTTCTGCATATTTGATCTTTCGACGAATACTTAAACTCAGGTCTAAATTAGAAAATCAACTCGGTCCTGATAAATGCAATGTTTTGACAGGTACTAGCATTGAATTAGTATTCTTGGTAAGATCAAAGCGCTGCTAATAGTGTTTCATTACGCTGTTTCTGTACGCATTTTACACGCCGCGAGACTAGTTACACGGCGGGCTAGTTTTAGAACGCTATTTACATCCGTCACGCATATACGTCTTTTCAGCTTGTCTTTCGAATTTCTTTTCTCCCCCTTAGTTAACCCCCTTTTCCCTCTTTGTATTAATAAAACGCGGCACCCCTATGGTACTCATTTTCGCCATACGTACCAGAGTACTTTCTCTTTTGTCTTCGGCCGTTTCTGCACTTCCCTCCCGCATGTTACAGTCGTCACGTCTCTTTCTGTCCGTGACTATCACGCGAGCTTACGTGCGTACTGTGCCGTGAGCTGCGCAACGTGCATACGCTCAGGCCATACTATGATACTATCAATGAATGACTGACTGTCTGGCGCGTGTGACGTGGCCACGCACATTGACCATAATGACTTATCTCTCATTCTGTCTCTCTCTCTCTCTCTCTCTCTCTCTCTCTCTCTCTCTCTCTCTCTCTCTGTGTGTTATACTTTTCTGGATGTTTGTCGTCGTTACGCAAGCATGCGACAAGCATGTTTTTCTGACTCCGCGCACAGGCAAATTCTTAGTGCTACAAGAAGATTACTATTTGAAAAATTGTTTTCCACGTTTACTTCCCTTCTATTCCTCCTTCTTCCCTCGTCCTTCCTCCTTCCGCCTTCAATGCACCGTACGTACGGCATGTTTTCTCCTGTCAAAAATATATTGACGTTTAACATTTTCATAGAAGATATTATAAATGTCAACATATTTAGAAATTTGTAAAAATTTTGGCAATCTGTATAAATATAGTAATTATTCTTTCGGGATTTGGTAATTAAATTACGGCTTAAATGATATATTTTGACATAAATATTTATTACGTTTATAGTTTTGCTACGATTTATTAATCACACGAAATAATTAAATTATGTGAGTGATATATTCATTAAAGATCTAAGATCTACATCTGTAATAGCTAAAAAGTTGAATTACACTTTATAGTTATTATGATCATAATTGATATCATCACACCGCATTGTTATTAGGATAGGATGCACATAATCCCTAAAATTAATAATCATTATCAGACGTGATATAATACATAAGCGGTTAAGCATCGTCACCAAAGCGAAACACGGCGTTATTAAGCGGATTCCCTATTTGACGGAGCAACGCGAAGAGTAAGCATGACGAAAATAAAAAAAAAAGAAAAGAAACATGAGTAGAAAAAAAGAAATGGAAAGAAGAACCGAACGAGGAGAACGTATGTAATCGCGTACACTCCTCATATTTTCGCTCTCCACCCCCACCCTCTGCTCCGCCTGCTTCTCTCTCTCTCTCTCTCTCTCTCTTATACCTAGCTCGGTCTCCTTTCATTTCGACCGTCCACAGTGTGTTTTCCACTCCGTTCGTTTGCTGTACGCCGTTTCGGTCTCTTTCCTGTCTGCACGCTCTGTTATCCGGCAAACATTAACGGCGTAGAGCGTACGATACAGCGACGTACGATGCAATCAATGAATGACGGCGTGGTGCGGGACGTGCAGTGGCCGTGATGACTTTTCTTATCTAACGCTCCTTTTCCTCTCCTTCTCTCTTCGCACCGCGTGATCGTAACCGCACTGGCCTCTCCGTACTATGCTTTTCTTCTGCTCGGCACGCACGCACGTACGCACGCATTCGCATTTTCGCGCTCCCTTGACTCCTGCCTTCCCCGCCGCCTCCGCCGTCTTTCCCTTCTTCGTTTCCTTCTGCATGCTCTCCCCTACTTCCTCCGTCCGGTTTGCATTACTTGCGATGCGTATGCCGTATGAGTACAGAGTACAAGAAGGAAGTCTCCAGTATGGACAGCTCGATAACGTAACGTGTTTTTCTTATTTGTGAGGTCGGATTTAGAAATTTTTATGTGGTTTGTCGTATAAAATTATACAATGCCTCAATATTACCAATTTTTTTTATTAAGGAAATTGGATTTTATTGAAATAGTTGTAGCAGGATTATGTATAGAGTAGATCTCTCAAAAGATTGGAAAGAAATATTTACTATAAGTTTAGATAAAATCATGTAATTATAAAATGTATGGCCTTTCATAATTAAAAAAAAAATATTACACTTTATTTTACACATTATATATATTTACACATTATTTTATTTCATACAAAATTTTATTTAGGACCATCTGCGAATATTTCAGTAGCTATACGACGTTGTAATATTAGTTGAACACAGAATCTTTTTTTTATTTTAAAAACGAAATAATTTGTACGAGAGAGATAAACATCGCTGAAAATCTGGGAAAGCAATTTATATGTTCCACATACATATTCATACATATTCACATACGTATACACACGTTAATTTTCTATACTATTGTATTTATGAATATTCTTTTTAATCACTCTAGAGAAGTCTGTGCACCTTTCGAGAATATAGTAGTCTCTTTATTCCTATTTCGCGCGAGGTACATAAGTTCTAAGCAAAAAAATCCAAAACTATCAGAGGAAAACATTTGAAATCGAATTTTTTCGCGTGGCCTTCACGCGAAAAAATAATAACTTTTCAAATGCTGGCGTATTGGGTGAAATCCGTGGTAGATTCCTCCAATTGTTATACCACGAGTCTCGAAACACCTCGTCAGGACATCGTTTTCAAGTTCGAGGAACACGGGGAACACATTGTGAGTTCTACGTCGTCCCTCTTCTTCGTCGTCGTCGTCGTCGTCGTCACCAGTCGCGGCTATCGATCGGTCGCGGGCGTCGGCGTCGGTGCCGCTCGGTGGCGCCCCCGTCAGCTCAGGACGGCGGCGACGGCGCTCTGCGTCGCTGCCATCCGCCCCTGGGGGGCGGCGGGGGACAGGGCAGAGGTGGAGGAGGGGGGGTGGGGGGCATCGACACGCAGAGAGCGATCGTGCCTTTGGTGGAGCCGGCAAGAACCCGGCGTGTACGTCGGGCCGCCACGTTAAAAGCGGATTTATTAACCGGTAGGGCCGCGTTCTTCTATATCGCAAAATGTCCAGTTTGTCGTCTTTGCCGCCGTCGTCGCCGTCGTTTTCGCAAACACCGTCGTCGTCCGCTCTCGGGGACGGCGAGTCGCCGGTAGAGAGAGTAGGATCGACTCGTGAAAATCGGCGAAGTGTGCGCGAGAAGTGCAACGGTCATGGATTTCTCTCTTTTTTTTCTTATTCTCTTCACGCATCACGGAGAACGAGCGAGTCGCTAATCTCGCCGTCGTCGTCGTCGTCGTCGAGTATACTCGTCCTACCGGCGTATCGTGACTGGCATCCGCGAAGTGTTCGTGGAAATTCGGCCAAGACACGGTACTCGTCGTCGTCGTCGTCGTCGTCTTCGTCGTTACCGTCATTGTCGTCGACGTCGGGAAGAAGGACGCTCAAGGATAAGTGGAAAAGTGCGACGTCGGATAGGACACGGCAGAAATTCCGATGACGAATGATAGTGACGGGAGTACGCGTGATCTCGGGTTAAATCATGCGTGTTAGAAAGGCCGGCCTCCGCCGTCGCCGTTGCGCATCGGGAAGGAACGCGGTGCAAAGTTCACGAACAGCAGTAAATTTATCATGTACGGACATTCCGTGGATTGTCCTCGGAAACGTTTTATCCCTGGATCGCGACGTGCGGAGCGAATCTCAAATTCGGGCGGCACTCGTGGAGGGAAATTTCGGTTCAGCATGGCTGACGCCGCGACATTGACGTAAGGGGGTGGTTCTTCTAAAGTATCAGTGTGAACAGTATCGCGGGGTGATTCCTATGAAGAAAATAAATCTCTCGTTCTAACCATCCTCGTGAAAACCGTGGGGCACGCTCGAAAAGCGGCGAGATGTGTGTTTGGCCAGCTCACGCATGGCCGTTTCGGCCAAATGATGGTCGGAAAATGCCGGCCTCTCTCTCTCTCGAGAGCCCCGTTTCAGCATCCGGTTTCTCCGACACCTTTCCACCGCGCGAAGCACTGATTTCGTTCTTGCCTAGCGGGAAAAGCGGCAGAACACGGGCTTGTTGGATTGAATTTGTCGTCGTCCACCATCAACAAGTTTGCCTCAT